AGGGGTTTACAAACTTTCTTGCACATTCTTTTGCCTGCTTAACAAGTAAATAGTGTATGTGTTAAAAAAACACAGATCAGAAATTGAAACATGATGCACCGTTTATATAAATAGTTATTTTTCGGCACTAGTGCAGCAAAGCAGCCTGACGTGACACCTGTGCACAGACTACTGACATTTAAATCTGAGGGTGAGAAGAAAACAAGTGGCTGACAAGATCATCCCAGCTAATTGGATCAATGGCACATTTGGCATCAAAGGCGGTGTTTCATTTTTTCCACGGGAGCAGAGACTCCGGCTCACTGTGATGAAAGAGTCTGTTCGTCTACCTATTCTCCGTCCCGCATGTCCTGCTGGCGGTCACGTGCATGATGAAGCACTTGGAAGTTCACTTCAAATATTTGCATTTAAAGTTTATCCTATTACCACTATTTTAGCGGGTTTTGTCAATACTATGTTCGCTCTTCGGATGAAGGGGCTTTATATTGATGTTTAGCTATGCTTTATAATCGCTGTGCTTGATAATATCACATGGTTACAGGACACTTCTATCGTGTGTGGATAGAGATGACCAGAATTCTCGTGGGAGTTTTACTTAAACAAAAATCTTTTGAGGGCAGAACATAAAAGGATTGGTTTAGAGAGATAGCCAATCAGATTGTAGAGGAGGTGGTTCCAAGCAACTAAAGGAGGCAGGACCAAGACATCTGATTGGATGGTCCCGCCTCATCTAGTTGCTTGGACCCACCATCTCTACAATCTCACTGAATATCTCTCTGAACCAATAATTTTTCGTCCTGCCCTCTGAATATTTTTTGTGGAAGTAAAACTCCCATCAGCATAAAGCTCGGCTTGGAGGAAACTGTAGCATTATCTTCTTGGTTTATTACTAATAGTGGTTTTAATCCCAGCCCTAGACCTGATATTCTGCATTAGCCTGGAAAATTATCTTTGGCTTGGAGCCAAGTCTCCTGACTTTGGTTGTCACCATCATAAACTGGGAAACGGTCGTGTAGATTGGGTGGAAGTGAGATTCCGTAAACAGCAGTCAACCAGACCGAAATGGCTTGTTTCATACGCTATCAGCTATCTTAAATTTCAGCTGCCTGAGGGCAGTCTAAACAACCGCAAGCTTCACTCCAACGTAGTGCACATATCCAGTGTCCTCACCTTTCTCCCAAGTGCCTGAGATCAAAGACAACATCGCGTGGAGCGTGTCTGTTATAACGGGGCCAGTTTTATTACGCGGTAATGGAAATAAGATGATATGATTTATAATGAGAACGGCGTGATGTACAGCTTCCGATTTACGAGGCACATGGGAAATTGTCATGTGTTTTATCTCCGTCCAAGCATCTCATGTAACAAGTGATTAATTGGTGTTCCTATCCGAATGAGAATGGGCGCTAAATTGCCACATGAATGATACTGAAAACAATATTTCAGCAAAGCGCCAAGGATCAGTTTTATTTATGAGGGAACTATTTAATTATTTATTCTAAAATACTGTGTTTGCAGGTTGGGGTGTACATTCAGTCGTGTATCACATTTCACCCTGATTCCCTCCAAATTGATCTGTCTAATCCAACTCACCAGAGCGCACTCGCAATCAGAGTTAAATGCACTTTCCACTCGCCGTGTGGCTGATGACCTTCTTGGTAGGTCATCGGTATTCCACCCAGGACTAGTGACCAGAGGGACACACCCCTGGCTTCGGCCTACAAGGCAGCCCTGCCCTACCTGTCCCACTGCGGCTAAAACCCATCATTTTGTAGAAAACCGCTTATGCAATCAGGGGATGTACACGTCATGAACTGTGGTATGCTTCTGATGATGTATTAGTCAGTTACGAGGTGCGCACTGTCACACACACTCACGCACATGCGCGCCTTCACTCTTTATAGGGAATTCAGTGTGACCGGTTCACTCCAACCACATTTTCGGCATTGTGGGTGGGAATACGACAGAACCTCAAATAAACTCATGTGAAGACGTAAAGAAACAGGCCTGATCTGCTGGAACAGACTGTTTTCACATCCTTGACGCTGCCCTTTTCAGCTCCGTCGACAGCTCCGTCGACTGTAGCAGAATCAGATTTTTGCATTCCTCCCTTCACATCTCATGTCATATGATCGACAGCTTAATTCTCATATTCCAACGTACACATCCGAGTTGGTGCAGATCTCATTAAAAACACGCAAAAAGCCATCGGCATCCCCTCCTTTCGACCAAAGTTCGGCATCAAGGCCAATTTTGAATCGTTACCGGCCGGCCTGAAATGAAAGACCATCAACAGGCTTAATTTTCGCAGCCGGGCAGAAACAATGGAGCGTGTGGTGAAAGTGGAGCCGTGCTTTCACAGATAAGGAAGCTGACTCATTCCTTTCAGAGGGAGGGCACTTCACGTACAAGTGGTCAATGAGCACATACTTCCTCCCTTCTTGGAAGTTTAATGCGATTGGTACCCCGTGGCAGTTCCATTCATTCATTTGCTGAGACGTCAGACGTTCAAGAGGCCCCTGTTTGCTTACCATCCACTTCCAGTCTGACGCGATCCCCCTCCTTTATTCCCGAGCAGAGTTTTGATCTCATCATCATTACTGTGTTTCTGTTTTGTTTTGTGCACGCCTTGACGTTTGTGAGATTCAGGAGCAGAGAATTAATAACGATAATCACATACCCTTGCTAAGTTAATACTGAGCTACTCCTCTGAAGGCAATTATATTAATTCGCGAATAACAAGATATGTTTGAGGGGACATGCATGGATGAAGGGTTCGTCGCCGAAAGTAAATCTTAACGAGCATTAAGCAATCGAAAGGGCAGATAGAGATCTGGTCAACACGTCTAACTTTGTGGGCCAAATGTTGAGCTTGACAGTTAGTTAATACTGCGATCCATCTCAGAAACGTGCGCGAGGCTAATGACTTCATCGAGAGCGAGATCTGTCACACAACGGTGACATTTGATACCTTCAAACGAACAAGAGTATGTATCAGAGGCAGGAATGAGCGATTCATACATCATGAAGCAGCAGTGCTGTCACTTTATGCATGAATGTTCATTTTCCTAGCTGACGTTTGGGAGGACGACTTTGGGCATATTGCTCGCGTTGTAGCATTTATGCTATGTGGGTGTGGCTAGTCGCCAGTACTGTTTGACGCAACTAATAAGTGTCTCACAGCTTTTCAGCACTGCAGTTTTGATTTTAAATACAAAAACCATTTTGGTTTGAGACGACACTAATTCCTTCAACGTACCGCTGGAAGGTATTTCAGAACACAAAAGATTACAGGAGGGATTACAATAGGATCCAGATATGGCACATTAAAAAGCATTCATTCACCATGGAAACATATGCAAATTGTATTGTAGAATGACTGACAAAATTAAAAACAAAAAAACAGAACACAATATCACTGAGTGACATATTTATTGATGGGCCTGCAGTCGAGGCAGTTATGATGCGTGCATCTTCTACATCGATGTCAAACACACCTGTATTTCCTGCTCCCATTTGACGGTTGTTGACAGAACTTTGATCTGCACCTTTGGAGGTGAGACATTTCGACTTTCACCCAAAGCCCCCCAGAACCGCCCCCCCCCCTGCCTTGCCCAAACTCCCACACTTGAAATACTATACGTTGTTTTCCATCAGTGTTTCCGGCTTTATATCTCCTTGACTATGATGTCAAACATGTGGCTGCTCTTAATCCTTTCCTCGTAGATGCACTTGCGTTCTGTTTGCATGTGAGTCTTTTCCATGGCACGGATGAGTTGATTACCGATGACTCTGATACCCTTTAAAATAACATCACTGCGGGGTGAAACTAAGACTTGGCATGTGGCGGCTTTGTAGTCATAAAGGACATCCCAGTGAAAACAAAACACAAATGGTCTTATCAGTCTAACACAGTGTCGGAGAACGTGTGAAGGGCAAAGGAAACCATCGAGTTTTGTATGTTGAGTGTATCTTGTGTAAGCGCGTGACACACCTGGACAGTTAGGTATCTGTGGGGAAACCTGGAATTCAAATGCAATCAAACATCACAGATTCACAGGGACTCGCTGGTGGGGGGGGACTGTGGTTAGTCATCAGTGATTTTAGATTATGGGGGCAATGATGGACGGAGGACAGGCTACTCAGATGGCATTTCAAAATGGGAGGTTAAGTAAGATGAAAATGTAGCCTGACATTAATATGCCAGCGTCATCACAGGGAGATAAACAAATCGACAGCCGCCTGCCACACAAACACACATTTACATGGGTCATTATCGCCATGGAAGCGTTCCTTGATGAACACAGTTAATATGCAAATCGAAATTGTATATGGATGCATTCACAAGGTGGCCTTATTGATAAATGCAGTGCTAGTTAGGGTTTGTGCAGAGTTTTTGCACTTTTCCTTAAGGGGTGAATATAAACTCTTTGTATAGCATTACCCACTAGTTGTGGGACTCGGACAAATGAATACATTCATGCATAAGTGATAAAAGGGACAAAAAAGGGTAAAAGCAAAAATAATACAGTGACTGTTGGTCTAAGGCGCAATTTTTGTTTTGCACTGCATGCTGTGTGCGTGTGTGTTTACTCACAGACGAGGTGAAGGAAGCTTGGAATCAGATAATGTGCAAAAAACAAAATATTGATATTATTGGGTATAATACCAGTAGTTTAATTCCTTGGTTAGTTGAATGTGAACCTAATTAGCTGCATGAAGCATCCCGGGATTCTATAGGCGTCACTGGTCACTTACACTTTGAAGTTTACTGCACCTCTTGCTGGTATATCAGGACTCAGAGCTCAACAGGTAGCGTACTGTGCTAACAACACAAAGCTTGTAGATTCACACACATAAATTGTAACCCTTCCCTCTACTGTAAGTCACAATGGATAAAAAAAACTAAAAGCTTTATATATGCACATGTCAAATAGGTGCAATCCAACACACTTTAGCATTTTCAGGCAATTTTTGTTTATTAATTGATATTCCTTTGGTTGTATGGGGTTGCACCCCACAATCTCATTGTAGTGGAACACTGCATGATGTTAAATAGGTGTTAAATACAGTGACAAAGAACAATCATGCCATTAAGAGAATCGTTCATCCTATAAATCAAACACAAGGTAACCCAAGTTTAGGCTCCCAATTTTACCAGTGCTAGTTGTAAGGTCGCCTCGTCCTTGGGAGGGGGGCTTGTCCTTATCAAAGACCCCTCGGATAACCACAGGTAGAGAGGCACAAGCGTGACATGTAGTCCCAAATCCGTAGCAGTGGATCACAGCAATCTATCACTGCAACTGTACAGAATTCTTAGGAGAGGAAAAAAAAAAAAAGAAAACAGAAAGTTTGCTCAAATCTCTTTCCGTGTTTCACAGAGGGCCAGTAATAAGGTTTGGCTTTTTGAAAATTGATCTTCCGCAGTTTGTCTGATAGCTACCATCATTCCACCTCGGGCGAGGCTCCTGAAAGGTTAGGCTTCTAATCTAGTGAGAGCTTGTGATGAAAGTGCCGGGGTCTGACATCTCCACCAAGCCTCACCTTCCCGGCTCTAAACACCGAGGAATCAACGGCGCGGAAATCAACGCCGGCAGGAACGTACCTCGCACTTCTCCCCCTGCACTGCGAGGAACTCAGCGCTTGTCGTTTCTCAGTGAGCTGGAGTAAACACGCGCGTCCCGCCTTAGGAGATGCCACAGGAGTGACTGTCGGGACAAACTACGAGGTGAGCGTCGTTCCGGGGCCAAGGGCAGTTCGCGTGCTGCGAACTGCCTGCGTTCGCCTACAGGAGGAAAGGAAACGCGTTAAGGTCCGGGCCGCGGAATGAGGCCGGCCGGCCCGCCTTCCACCACGCCGCAGCAGGCCAGCTTTCGCCCTCGTGCTAGCGCCGGGGCCGGCTTTTCGAAACGACACTTAATGCCGCACCCCCAGCCCCCGAGAAACAAGGCTAAGTGTGAAATCTTGTTCGCAGCGACGGAGCGAGAGGCACTTGGTGCTCTGTGGGCCGACAGGAGGAGGCAGCAGACATGAACAGTTCATGTTGTTTTGTGGTGTGCAGAAAATCAGGTACAAAGATGTTACTCAAACTGCATCCATCCATCCATCCATCCATCCATCTCCCAACCACTAATCCAATACGGGGTCATGGAGGGGTGGTGAGAATCTACTTCAGGAAACACAAGGCACAAGATATGGGTCCAGCCTGGACAGGATACCCATCCAATAAAGGGCACATATGCAATAAAAACTACACACCTTGGCCATTTTATGACAGGGGCTATTCTAGGATGTTTTTTAAGGTGGGGAGCAAAACAGGAGCCATAAGTCATACAGAGGAGCGTGTCAACTTTATCATTAGCCAATGATATGTTATGAATTGGAGAGTGACAGGGGAAGGGGCACTCTGGGGGCCAATCAGCCTTCAGCTGGAGCTAGTGCCCCCTGTGGAACCATCCTTGTATACACCATTGTGTTATAATCACCAATCCTCCTGACTGCTTGTCTTCTGACTGCCAGAGGAATCCAGCGGACCCAGAGGACGCCGGCAAAACATGAGGAACACATGCAAATTCCACACACACAGTGTGGGTGGGAAAGGAACCTTCAGGCAGGGGGTGTCAGGCACCAGACCAACACCATGCCATTAACTGAGCTGGCATCTCTGAATTGCCCATAGTGTGTAACTGTATGTGTGCCCGGTGACAGATCGGCATCCTGTCCAGGGTGCCCCTTGTGAAATATGTTTTCTAGAATAAGCTTCTCTCCCACTGAGACCATGTACTGGTTAAGCAGTGTTAGAAGATGCAAGGATACTCCCAGACTGCTTAAAAACTCTGCATTCAAATAACATAATTTCTTTTTCAGATTCCCCCCGTCATTCAAATATATTGACATAACTTCCACATTAACAGTTTTGACTTCTGTATACTGTCACGTATTGGACCAAACTATCATTAAAAGTAATTCTATCAACTCAAAGTGATTAATCCTTGTCGCGATTGCGTTTTACTTGGCGAACTGGAGGTAATTGCAGATTCACCTACGCTTGACCGGATTTATGCAATATAGTTTTAAAGAAATTCCATAACATAAAAGTATACGGTAAAGTACACATACACACCATCTCCCGGTCTCCTCCTCCTGAAAGGGGCGCAAGGTTAAACTGGAAGCCCGGGCACTTTGGCAGGCAGAATATCAACTAAATGCCAAGGCTTACAGCGATGCTGGACGGCGAGCCGCCGAGAGATTCCGCTTTAAAGCGTTACTAATTCCGCACCATAGATCACATTCCCGGGCAACAGCCCAAAGACAACTGTTTCCCCTGCTAATTATCGGTCGCGGCTGTGTCAGCAGGAGGAGGGAGAAAAAAGATAAGGATGCGTTTATTGCCGGCCATCAAGCGGCCCGGGAGGGAAATGCAGGTATGCGAGCGCGTCCCCCAGCCGATCGGCCGGTGTCGCTCGCTCGCTCGCATCCTCTCTCTCCCTCTTCCCTCACTCCCTCCCTCCTTCCCCCGCGTCTCTCTCGCTTCTCCACCTCCGCTAGCGGCAGTGCGCTGTGCGATCTGACAGCGGCTCCGCGTCTCTCCAAAGAAAAGCTCCGCTCTTCACTTTTTTTTTCCTCCGCCTATCGCACCCTCCCTCCCTCATTATCTCCACCGACGGCTCGGAGGACGGTGCGACGCAGGTAGCAACTCTCCTTTCCGATGATTTATGTTTTTTTAATTTTTGTAGATTTTTCAAAAAAATTACTTACTGAAACATTTGCACTTTTTTAGGGAGGTTCGGTGCACGATGCATTGTTGATGATGTGCATGTCATTTTTCTCTTGCAGTTCATTTGGGGCCTGGGTCTGGAATAAGAAAGCATTGCTGTTTCTGACTAGAGAGAAGAAAGATTGACTCCTCTGGATTTCCAAAGAGATGTGATCCATACGCCTTGGTGAGTGAGTCGTTCCTGTCGCGGCGCTGGGCACCGCCGCTGCACCTGCCCTAAGTGTGCCAGCCGTGCCCCGCCAGCCTCTTACACCCCTTTGTTATTAAACCTTAGTTTGCGATGCAAACCGCTTGTTTAATACTCAGCATTTGCAGCGTTTTTCGATGCCGCCGTTTTCAGCACCGTAAATCATGCAATACTTTGCCTGGCTTTTGGAAGTACTAAATCTACACTTTTTGCCTCGTCGCTTGCAAAGCGCGAAGTTTTCTTTAAATGTTAAAACCCGTTTTCGTTTATTAAATCTCATGACGGCGACTGTAGCGCGCTGTAGGCGTAAATTCCCCTGAATGTGATACGTAATATCATGAAATGCAGCTGGTGGCGTTTTTAAAATGAAGTTTGCTCCTTTTACTGTACATATAACATGAGGGAAGTAAGGTATTATAAATTCGGATGAGTTACGACTTAACGTGTAGTAAATGGGTAATAGCACGGCATGAATTCACAGTAAGCAATTGCAGTAAGCTTTTTTTATTATTTGTTTGTCCAGCTGTTGACGTAAATTTGATAGCATGAAAACTGAAGATTTCTGTGTGCTTATTGACACATGCTTTGTGACGTGGTAATGGGGCTATTGTCACGATTCTGCAGAGTTTTAGCCCCCAACTAAAACGGGCATTTTTCCAGTCTTATCGCCGTACGTCTAATTTCCACGTGGGTAACGGAAAGTCTTGGGGTGTCTTAATGGGGAAACTTTTGGGGAAGTTTTCGGCGTCTCATTGGACAGGTTAATTTATTGGCAGGTGGGGATGAGGTGGTATCTTGCCCTGATGGGTTGTTCTTTCTTGGCCAATGATGTCATATCTCACCAATCGCAGTACTTCCATTGGTACTCCTCCCTGCCTCATTTGCATTTTTGTTTTCTCAGAGTAATGAGTTGGAGCATTACAAAAAACAGACCTTTGAATATGCCCCATGACAAATAAATCCATCTTCCCCAACCCAGAGATATAAAAATGATGATAATAATTAAATAGCTGCTTCCTCGGTATAAAACATGGAGTCTATGCTGAGATTCCCCAGTGTGTATGTACTGTATGCCAGGACTGGGAGGAATTTCTTGTTCCTTAATGGCGCTTTTAACTCTTCAGGAACTCAGTAGCTGCTTCATTTACTGAGATAAGACACAGGACCCCCTTTGCATTAGAAACGCCGTTCATTTTCTAAAATAGTGTTTCTTGGATTTTGTAGATTTTAGAATCCAATTAGGCTTGTTCTCCAGACCTGTGACTCGAAGAACGACAGTTCTGCCTGGAAGTTTTCCAAAACTTATGCCGCTGCTGGCAAAACGGGTTGGAAGATGCGGTAAAGCGATAGCAGGAATGCTGTACGCGCATTTTAAAATGTGGGCATTTGATTTTTAAGTTTGTCTTGGGGCTGAGACGAGGCGCAGTGACTGGCGTACCGGGGTGTGATGTCGTCACTGGTTGGTAGGTGTGGCACCCTTTGTCTTTAGGGGGCAGTGTGTCGTTATCCACTGCACGTTTAACCCGGCAGGGTGATGAACTTCAACGAGGGCCTGTTTGGCTTAATGACAGTGACTCCAACCCCAGGCTGGATGGGACTCAACCCAAACAGGCATTTTTGCAGTGCTACAGACGTGATTTAATGAGGGATCATGCAAGCATTTCCTTTTTTATGAGCAGAGAAAGCAGACTACGTTGCATTCCTATTAAATCATTTTTTTTTAAATCCCACAAGCTTGTAAAAGGGATGCTTTTTCTCCATTCTTTGGACATAAAATGAGTAATGGTTTCGACGATCTTAAAAAGGATTCCGTTCCTGCTATTAAAATTTACTTCTATTATTCTAAATGTTTGAATCTCCCTTTGCCCCAGAACTGGAAGAACAAGATGATCTGAACTGGTTTATTTCATGTTATTTTTTTACCCCTCCCCACCCCCCGCCTCAGTCAGGAAGCTCTGTGCACATGTGCTGGATTATCGCGTAATCACACCCACACTGTTCGGCGTACACTCACTCCACTATCCAGTTTTATATATGATATCCTGGGCAGTAATTTTTTAATGGAAGTTCAAGGCCAAATGTGAGTTGGCTGACTGAGTAGAGTGGTGATTCCCCTGTGCACACGGCTTAATGTGATGTGAAGAGATGGCCGGTTAGCCCTGCCAGGGGGCGGGCGGGGATGGAGGTGGGGGTGGGACCGCGGAGGCTCTTCCTGTCATGCATCCGGTCCCACAGTAGGGGGAGCTGCAGGGGAGCCATTTCAGCTGGTCTCTCTGGCTGCTATTTTCTTGGAAAATCTGTTATTTTCCAGCAATTTATTTATTTATTTATTTTTGTGTTCTGGTGCCCTGATGCAAATGCCACCTCCCCCCCATGTACGGGCTCCTCCGCTGCACGGAGCCGCTGCATGAGCGCCTGAAAGGTCTTTTCTGTTCTCCTCCCCCCCCTGATAGCCGTCTTGAATCTCCCCTCCCTGCACGCCGGTGCTTTGGCCTGCTCAGTGTCTTCAAAGCCGTTTCATTACAGCATAATGTACCTGTTCGTCCTCCTGGGGGTCAGCTTGGTAATTGTAGTTTATGAAATACTTTTCTGAGACATAATCAGGCCGCAGCTGAGTGATCGTAGTGCTGTGTTGTAACAAAGGCTTAAACCAGTCCAGTATTTTTATAACCCCCCGGCCCCCGGTTTGTGGTAAACCCCAGCTCTGCATATCAGAGAATCAAATCCTACATAACTCCATAGCCATTTCAATAGAGAGGCTTTTTTTGTAGTCGTTTTTTTTTTTTATGTTAGTTTTGCTGGGGTTCCTTGACCTGGCAGTGAACCAGCTTCTCTGACGATCATTCCAGGTACCATGACTGACACACAGAAAGATGCAGTTCCATTCCAGGCTGTGAACCCAACAGAATGCATAGCTGTGAGCCTGTTCGCGCGCACAGCCAACCCCGCCTCGCTCCCGAGATATTCTCAGCGAGCCAGCATGCATCGTGTCTGGGCTCACAGCACTGTAGTGATGGAGTGTGACCCAGCTGGGTAGGAGATGGACATCCAAAGATAACCTGCATGATGTCACTGGGCCTTGACGTGGCTGTCTCACCATGTAAGATACCACTGGCCCCGGCCAAGTGTTGGCCAGGGTGTGACGTCATAGCAGGTCCGCAAAGAGAGAGTGTGCAGTGCTAAATTAGTACGTAGTATATTTCAGGTAGCCTGGACCCTTACAAGAAATATCCATTACTTTTTTCTGTGAAACACACCTTGATTACAGAACAAACCTCATTAAAACGCACACAATGCCTGTCCCCTCCTGCCAACCCCCCCCCCCCCGGCACTCTTATAATTAGGCTGAAGTGAGTGTTAATTAGATAAACATGCCACACAAGACTTTCAGAAATTTCAATTCATTCTCCGCTTTTGGCTGCAAAGTAATTTTGTTTTAAGCTGTCCTGACTTCTCATTTGAGAGGGACACCGGGGTACGGTGAGGGACGGGTTGGGGGGGTTAGGGTTAGGGTTAGGGT